AAAAAAGTATTTGCTTTTCATAGGTTCAAATGGAATGAGCATCATTATTCTATACATGTACACATATATAAACAGGATTTGAATATGAACTTTATGTCCAATTACATAAGCAAAAGGCCAAGGAAAACTGTCATTTAGCAGTTTCTTAGGAGAAGAAAAGCTTTTAAAAACCTTAGTAAGTAAGGAGAGATGGCTCATCAGTTAAAAGCGCATACTGCTCTTGTAGAGGACCAGAGTTCAGATCCCAGCATGGCAGTTGGCAACCACTTTTTATAACTTTAGTTTCAGGGGATCTGACACCCTCTTCTTACCTCCAAGGGCTCCTGTATGTACACAGGTTCATGCAGGCAGACAGGAATGTGTGCGTGTGTACAGACAAGCGCGTGCGCACAAACACGCTCTCTCTCTCTCTCAAATTTTTTTTTTGTCTTTTTGAGACAGGGTCTCCCTGTAGCCCCAGCTGTCCTGGAACTCACTTTGTAGACCAGGCTGGTCTTGAACTCACAGAGATCCGCCTGCCTCTGCCTCCCAAGTGCTGGGATCAAAGGCGTGCGCCACCACGCCCAACGTAAGTAAATGTATTTTCTAAAGAATATTAGTAAAGTAATTCAAGATTTCAAGATTACTAAATTCTAACTCTAAGCTTTGAGCAAGTATATACACTTCTACATGGGTTGAGCAAAGCAGCACCTATATTTATGAAAGTAACTATCTCTTGATATGTGGCACAAGCCTTTAATCCCAGCACTCAGGAGGCAAAGGCAGGGGGATCTCTCTGAGATTGAGGCCAGCCTGGTCTACACAGGTCAATTCCAGGCCAGCTGGAGCTGCAGGGAGACTCTGTCTCAAAACAAACAAACAACAAAAAAACCTAAAACCAAACAGTCACAATTTTTATAAAAATGTGTATGTATATAGACACATATACATCTAAAATTGTCCAGTTTGAGGCTGGAGAGATGACTTAGGGGTGAAGAGCACTGACTGCTCTTGCAGAGGACCTGGGTTCGGGTTCCCAGCATCCACATGGTGGCTAATAACCATTCGTAACTTCAGTTTTAGGACATCTGACACCCTCTTCTGACCTCCAAGGGCATCACATGCATGTGTATCACTTACATACATGCAGGCAAAATACTCATAGATTTTAAAAAGTGTTCATTTTGAGTTTCATTCTTAGTTCACAAAATCTCTTGTTTGCAGCAATGTCTTCTTTCTAAACATTCCCCGAGGAAGGAAGGGAGAGGGAGGGAGGGACGGAAGGGAAGGAGGGACCAATTCCACTCTCCCAGCTGTTTTAGTCCGAAATTGTTGGGGGACTCTCCTCCTAAGGTTGCAGTCTACCACGTCCGGATAGCTCTAAGGGGCTTGGTGCTATATGGAAGGACTCCCTTTCTCAGCGGGGGCCTCCTGCTCTCTGCCTGACTTATCTGGAAAGTGCCACCAAGCACGGGTGCCTGACTTTATTCAGAACATGACCTTTGGCATAGTTACCGGCAATAAAACTGACCCCAGGTTTTTTCTATATGATAATTAGGCATTGCCCTGTAGTCAGATGATAGGATCCCCCTACAACATGTAAATAAAGCGTACTATGAGCACATATCAGCTGAAGCTTTGGCTGCTGCCTCCACACTATATTTTCCCTGACCCCCACTGAATAAATGGAGCTGTATCACTGAATCTGACTCCCCGGAAAGTCTTTCCCGTCGTGCTCACTGGCCATCCTGACCCCGTTTGTCCTTTCTGCTCCCTTTGTCCTTGTGGATTGGTGGCCAATGGTCCTTGAGGGGAGGGAGAGACCCACACCAAATGTCTCATTTCACTTATTTTATTTACTTAATTATTTTGGTTTTTGGAGACCAGGGTTTTGCTACATAGTCCAGGTTGCCTTTGAACTCATAATCTGATGCCTCGGCCTCCTGGGTGCTGGGATTACAGGCAAGCAACAACACTCCTGAACAAAAAGTTCTATTTTATGAAGCATCCTTGATGTGTCTAGGAAGGTAAACCATACAAAGTTAAACCACATTCCAAGCATAGTCCTTCACTGGCAGAGGAAGTTTTCTAAATACAGATTGACTTGCAGGGAAACAGACTAATGGAACCATCCCCTTGTTTCCATGATGTGCCACCTCACCCTCGTACCTTCTGTCCGTGCTGTTCATGTACTCCAGGAACCAGGTCTTAAATTCCCCCAGCTGGTGCTGAGCTCTATTGACCACCTGTGATGCAGCAAGCAGGTCTCCACATCGCATGCAGTAATAAATTAATGCCCAGACAGGATGGCCTTCTACCTCCCCATCCTAAAAGACAAAGGGCAGTTAAACAAACAAAACCTAACCAACTACCTTCTGCTATGCCAACACCCGGCTAAGGCTTAAAATCCACTAGAACCCCTGAGTTAAGAACGATTAACAGCATCTTACTCTATTTTGCAAAGAAACTAATTTGTCCAGAGCAAGATGGGAGTGGTAGTGTAGTGTAACTCTGGAGTTAACCTTTGACGTCCACCTGACTTAAAACATCCCTGCGCTTACTTCCACAGCTGGCAATCATGGGATAAAGTTCTTCTTTGATGACTTTCACACAACTACTCCTACAACTTCCAAAACAAGAGCTAAAGACATCGTTGGCCAACAAAGACTACTGTGAGCTTATAAAATTAACTACAATGAGTAGTCAGTCATGTCTTGTTTCCTCAAATGTTGAGTATCTGGGTATCAGATGCTGCTAGGTGATTGTCTCTATCCTTCCAACACTGCAGCTGACCCACCCTACTTATTACCTGGGTTCTCTGTGTTTCACCAACTCTCTTAGAGGAGTGGTCCTCAGACCTCCTTGTCCGTCCCCTCTACAGCCAAACGCTTTGTAAAACGGAGACCACGTGGTATCACTTGGCCTCTTAAACTCTTTTGAGCTGTTTAAACCCAGCACTCAGTCTTGGCACTCAAGGTCTTCCCCAGGTAGTTCCAGCTTGCTAAGCCTCACCACATGCTTGCTACTCCAAATACTGTGCTTTCTCCATGCTGTTCTCTTCTCCTAGAATAGCTCTCCCAAGACTTCAAGATGGTGAAACCTTATTTTTTTAATTTTTAAATTTATTTTTATGTGTATGAGTATATTGCCTACATGTAAGTGCACCTGTGTTGAGCAATGCCCACAGAGGACAGAAAAGGGTGTTAGAAACCCTGGAACTGGAGTTACAGATGGTTTGTTAGCTGTTATGTGGGTGCTAGAATTTGAACCGGGGTCTTCTGCAAGAGCAGCCAGTGCCCTTAACCGCTGAGCCATCGCTCCAGCCTTGAACCCTTATTCTTTAAGAACAAGTATGATCTTTTATGAAACCAGTATCCCCTGTATCCTCCAACTCCTGGCACAAAGCTCCAATTTAGCACTGTGTACTCTGTAACAGACTGTAAAGTAATTCCTCAGCTTGGACGGCAAGCTAACCAGAGGGGTCACATCCTAAAATCCATACCAACTCCAGTCTCCTGGCTGTTTTAGTCCCAAACCTCTTACATATTCTTGTCTCTCATATCCACAATCAACTTACTGAGCTGGTCTTCAGCTCAACTTTCAAGACTTACCTAGGACATAATGCTGCCTCCTCCCTGGACTCCTGCATAACTGGCTTTCAAAGGATCCACTAGAAGCACACTCCCATATGTCCCCAGCCTCTTCTCCACAGGGAACCTCCATTCAACTGAGAATACCTGAGAACACCAACTACTGTGGGGTGTCTCTGACCACAAACAAAGTTGACAGTACCTGAAGTCCTGGTAAAGGAGCTGGAAGTTTAATGTTTAGGAAGCTTCGAACCAGCTGGTAAGTTCCAGGCACACCACCTAGCTGGGCCTGATGCAGATTTCCAAAGACAGTCACAAGGGTGTAATTCTTATAACTAAGAAATTTA